AATTTTGATGTGATTATTCAATTGTTGAAGGATGTTATTGAGAATGAGGGTAAATCTGACATTTGCAATTTCACCAAAACGTTCAATTTACTATATGAAAATGTCATTCAACCAATTAAGAATAAAAACTAGTAAAGTTTACATCATTGTTTGAATATTTATTGAATGAAACATTTCTTCTTTTCATCATCAATTTCCGAATCAAATTGTGAATCTTCATCAGCACCTCCACTCTTTGATTGCTTCTTCTTCAATCTCTTTCTATATTTTTCCATCTTTTTTTCATATTCCTCAACTTGTTTAAAGTATGAATCTGGTGGCCATTTGTTTTCAGTAACATGTTTCAGATTTTCACCTGTTAAAAGTTCCCATTCCCTTCTTGCTTTCATTGGACCATAATTTGTAGATATGAAATGGAGACAAAAGTTGGCCAATTGATTGGCTTCATAAGTTTGAGCTAGTAACAGTAGACCTATAATGTCAATGTCAGCTTTTTCAATTCCTTGAGCTACTGATTTGTCAATATTTTTCGAGATGAAAATTTCACACATTGAGGTCAATCCAGACATGCCATATTCGTTGGCCAAGCTCAACAATCCAACAGCATTTCTTTCATTGATGGTAGAGTGAGCAGAGTACAGATATTCGAATAGGGCATGGAATTCACTTATTCTATTCTCATTCTCACCAATTTCACCACTCAAATCTACTTGCCTTGATGAGTGCTCTACGAAATTGCCCTCAAACATTGTTCTGAATACATCACAATTAGCAGAGAGGAATAGTTTGTGTCCCTGAAAATTCTTGGAAGAATCAGTCGTGGAAAAGACAATTTCGACATCGGAGTGAGTTTTCTTATCAAAGTACTTTTTCTTAATTTCACTACCCAATAGATCATTAAGATAGGTTTCAATACTTTCATTGAACACATCTTCCTCTCCTCTCTGGTAATTACTGACTATATTGTCAGTGTATTCACATTCAAAGATGGTAGATGCAATCTTGACCTTATTGAGAAATTGATCTTTTTTACACCTTTCCAGCATAGTTTCCGATCCTCCATAATATTGGATTTCCAATAGGGATTTGAAAGCCCTATGATGAATAGTGTTGGAGAGTCTGA